GAAAGCAGAATTTTTGTATCACCTTTTTTGTACATGTGCCTTGATGCCATACATGCCCAAACCGTGTGGTATGATGCTGCTTTGTCATTCTGACCCTACTTGCCCCCCACTCCCCATGGATGCAGCTCTTTAATTGGGACAATTCATTCATATTAAGTTTGTTACCAGTAATGAGCTGATACTCTCAAAGGTTAGTGCTTACTTTTAGACCTTCACTGTGGTAACTTTGACAGATACAGTCAATAACTCCTTTGTATTTGTTTAAATAAACCCCATCTGCTTGGAGACGACTTTTCACAACATCCATAGGAGTTGCTGTTCCCCAAGATATGATTCCTAGGGAGAAATTGGTAGATGTTAGATAGTAGATAGACGATACATTTTGAATTAATTTATTAAAGAATAGCTGATATCTTTCGGGGTGAGGGAGTTGGAGAGATTCTTACCAATGGGGGATAGGGGACTTCCATTTATAAAAGCAAAACTTGTTGTCATTTTGTTTTTGAAATATTTTTCCTAAGGTGAAGAAAGAGTGGCAAAATGTTATTGCAGATAGTCCTTGCTTAATGATTGCCCTATTTAGCAACCATTCGAAGTTATGACACCACTGAAATAGTAACTTTATGACTGGTCCTCACACTTATAACTGTCACAGCATTCCCCCGGTGACGTGATCACCATTTGGGTGCTTTGCAACTGGCAGGAATTTATTACCATTGCAGCGTCCCTTGGTCACATGAGCACCATTTGCATGCTTCACAGCTGGCTTCCGACAAGCAGAGTCAGTGGAGAAGCTGGCAGTAAAATCGCAAGTCGCGGTCACGTGATGTTTGTCTTAATGACCACAGGAAACTCACTTAATGACCATGGCAGAAGTGAGGTCATAAGTCCATCATGGTCACGTGATGTCTTGCTTAATGACCATGTCAGTTAGAGATGGAGTTGCCGGTCCTAAATGTGGTTGTTAAGCTAGGACTGCCTGCATAAGATTTAATTTGTACTGAACATATAGTAAAAAGCTCTCTAGAATCTCATAACAATGCCTCTGTAGATAATCCTTTATCACAAAAACCATCCTTTCAAAACTTTTAACCTTGTTTGTTCCAGGTTCCAAGTGTAGTGGCAATGCAGAGGACCATAGTTATTTTGATGAGTTTAGGTGACATAGTTTGATTTCTCCTGCACATGTTAAGAAAGCTCATTTTGAATCATAATAATGTTTAGCTGGCTTGTTTTTTACTTTTACTTAGAAGTTGGGGGGGGGGGAGAAGAGAAAACCCTCAGGATTGTTTAAGTTAAGCAATAGCTTATCTATACAGTTCCCAGGCTCTTCATTCTTTTGATGAGCAGGTATAATATCTGGTCAAGGTCAACTCTCATAGCCCCTGACTCCAAAACAGAGTCATGGGATTGCAATGCCAGACTTTGATAAAAAGCCCTGGCATTGCCTCTGGGGTTTGTAGTGTGGACACAGGCCTTGGGACTAGGTGCTGTGGTATTTAAGCCATCTTGGGGTGTCTCCACTGTCGCCTTATGGTAGCTCCCAACAGTAGGGGAAGAATTTTATCATCTTGCTTGGTATGTTATGTTTTTATACTATCCTTTTATATTTCTGTTTAATGGTATCTGCCAATTCTTATATTCCTGCTTAAATCTGTTTGCTAGAGTTAACAATAAAGCTTAAAATCTCCTTACCTACTGGTGTGTTC